ACTTCATATTGCTTTTTTTATGTAGATTTAAAACAACTTCTTTATTTTTTTTCTGGTTAAAAAAAAAAAAATCTCAACTGGTCATTTTCTTTGTTTTGTTTCATTGTTTAACCATTTGAATTGCCCACTAATTTCCATTAAGATCTTATTAGTACTATGTATACTATGTTGACAGTAAAAATATTTTAACTGTCAAAAAGGTAAAAGAGCCCTGTTCTCCATTACTATTTTGGTAATAGTGACCACTATTTGGTGGTCACTTCAGAAACATCAGACAGACAAAACTACATAAGGGATTTTCAAACTACATAAGATGCTGTCCAGCTCCCTAGTTGGCATGGACACTTGTATTTCCTTTAATTGACTTTCAAGAGTTAAGGCTATTTTCTTGCTCCTCTGTCTGTGCAAAAGCAATACTATTGTATCGGACAACAGATATAATCTATAATCTCTTGTAGAAGTAGTACACTCTTGCTAAATTGTTGCCCTGTTTCTGCTTTCAACAAGGCAGACCATGCATGAGATGGGAATCTAGGTACAGGTTGCTGTGGAATGGAGCTATCTTCTCACTGGAAAGAGTCCTGTCTCTAAGCTAAAGCTAGATTTGGAACCAAAATTTATTTTAAAAGCATAATTATACACCTTCTTTAAAGCAGACGTGCTATTAAATGACAAGTTCTCTCTTTTTTTTTTTTTTGTTCCCTTATGAAAGCTGAATATAGATAATTATATTTAAATAATGTGCTGATCGTGATACAACGTTTAGCAGCCGAAGCCTGGGAGAGTTTTATTTGAAAACCCCTTATTCAATGCCATCATTAAGCATATATGGAGAAAGAGGGGGAGTAAATGTTGAAGAATCCCACCTCTTGGTCTTACACTGCAGGTTTGCCAAGAAAATGGCAGCTCTCTTGTGGTAGCCAGCAACATATGCCAAATCCCATAGACAAGCCATGTATCAAGTGCCCTTTCTTATTCTGTATTCCTTTTAAAATAACTAATACGAATTAGTGAAGGTACTTTAAATGTGTCTGGGCTTCCTTTAGGTAGCTAGCCTCTTAAACAGGCTAAATTCAACAACTCCCGGTACTTCTAGCCCATAAACTGTATAGACATTGATTTTTAATTCATGCTGGTATGCCACATAATTTCTCTACTTTCACTTCCGAAGTCTTGAGAACAATGGCACTGCGTAACCATGTTACACTGAATGATTATGGAATGTAGTCAAATTGCGATTTCATTTGTGAAGCCATCACAGGTGTTAGGGGGTTTTTAAGAGGTTTTTTCAATAAAATTAAAGTATGTAGAAGAAGGAAAACAGTTGTAGAAATTTGACAGTTAGCTTCAGAAACTTGGGGTATAGGATTTGTTATATATAGCATGAAAATGGAAAAATTAACACAGAATTGGATTGTGGAGATCAAGAAGTATTAAGGGAACTTTCTGAAAACACAAATACTGATTCTTTCTGTACCTATTAAATTATACTGTTCTGGTCATCCTTCTTTTGTCCTCCTGCATGCTCTGGATATTAATTCTACTCCATATGATGCTTTCCTGTAAAACTTCATTTGCATAGGATATAGAAGTAGGCCTTTTGTAGGTGTAGCAGTATATGTTATCCAGAATATTCATTAATAATACAGAGATGTCTTGTTACACTGGCTAAAATCCAAGATAGCAGCTATGCCTATCTACCTTCATCATCCTCCATAATTCTTTAAGTGCTCTCTACTAATTTTCAGCACAACATCCTTTGGGAGGAAGGATGGAAAGAGACAGAAGTCTAAAATATCCACATTTCTAGAAGTTTTATGCAACTAAGAAGCTGAGGAAAGGAAAAATGCCATACAAAAATCCCCAGGGCAAACTCTAACCCATTATCAGGCAAAGTGATTCTACATGGGGGGAAAGACAAAACACAGCTGGGGGAGACTTCAGATGGGATAGTATCTTATCAGTTACCAAGGAATCCAACCCTGCCACAGCAGGTTTCGTTAGTCTTTTTGCTCACAGAATTGCTTTCTTTAGTTTGCTGGTTCAGTTGGCAGAAGCAGTGAGATTTGCAGCCTTCTTGTTTCAGTTCAATGCCATGTAGCAGAATATTGTTTTTGCAACTTAAAAAAAAAAATTAATACATTACTAGAAGTAGTGGGACTGTGACCACAATCTTTAACACAGGAATATTTGTTAATGCAGTTAGTTAGGAAATTCAAATTATGTTTCACAGAATTATTAGGAAATTGCACTCCTTCCACAGAGACTGAAGGAAAAAAGGTTTTTTGGAGTGAATGGTAATTCTTTAATGACTGGTTCAGTGAATAATTACAGACTGCTGGGCTTTAAGCCATTCATTGGAAGGGGACCTCTTGGGTGATGTCAGTAGAGTTCCATATTTATGCAGTAATGTCTCAGGATAATGCCAATACAAAACAGAATGGTGTTTGACATTTAGGAGAAGATGCAGACAGGAAAACTTGGAAGTGTTAACAAATGTATGTTTGGTAACATTCTTTTTTGATCAGAATGTTGTTAGTAATGCCATATTGAGCCTATAGAAAATGAACCTTTAAAATAAAATTCTCCACAAGCACATTTTCCTATGGTTTTATAGCTTGTTTCATCACTAAAATTAAATAAGCTTGAGAATTCCCCCAGTGCTCTCCATGTTTTATGGAATTTTTCAAGAATAATATAATCTTAAATAAGAGTACTTTGTAGAGTGCAGTTTATACAGTCCAGGGAATTGCTCATGGAGTACAGCACTGCTCATTTTGCCAGCCTTACAGCCCTATGGCTTGTTCCACTGTAGTCAGTCTTCTCTGCTTATTCTGTTCCTGATGCACTGATATGCAGCTTCCAAAGCAGCGAAAGAATGTTCTTCTCTGTGGTGTTTTTTTCTACGCTAAAATAAATTAATGTCTTGGTAGGAGTGATCGCTATAATGACTTTGGACTGGTGGTACACTAATGACAAAATCCGATCCTGTACATTGATTACTTTCAGGTTTTGCACTTCATTTTCTACAGGCCAGTTGTAGTAACAGACATGAACAAATATAACTCCTGTAAGCTTCACTTAAAATCTTTCATCTCCTGATCTTGCTGGATGATATTCTTCAGTGAACAGATTAGATAAGTCTGAAAACTTGTGCTACTTTCTTACCTTATCACATCTGTCCTCAATGTTTCCCTTCACCTTTGCAAGTTACGTGCTTCATTACTACATGGTTGATATATTTGGCATTGAGATGTCTGCACCTTGGGCAAAGAACAAATGGTAGACTTCTCATTTGCTTCGATATTCCTGCAGTGTTTCAAAAAGAGGGCACTTCATGGGAAGAAACGCACATGCTCTCATGTTCACGAAAGCATTTGTTAATTGAGAGGCACTACACTATTTTGTGTGTCAGGCAGGCTTTCTGTCAGTGCTGACCTCTTTCCATTCACTAGGTGTTTGTTGTTAAGCTTTGTGGGTTGGTTTTGGTTTTTGGTTTTGGTTGTTTTGCTGTGTTGTGCTTAGGGTTTTTTTTAAAGCAGTTTCCTGTTTCATAGTGGTTGTTCACAGGAGCAAAATTATCCTGTCAGCTATTCAGTATTTGGTATGGGATACCAAAGCTTCACAGCAATGAACTTCTTTTTAAGTCAGTTTTGCAACGATACTTGCTATAGTTATATTTAGACTAAATAAAATATGATGTAGAACCCTTTTCTTGGCTTCTCAGACACATCATATGTACACCCTCATACAGCTGACTGAAGTTGGGGAGGTGAAGGCTAGAATGAAGATGAAGAATGGACAGGAGTTGTGAAGTTATTCAGAGTTGAGGGTGCAGAAGGGTTAGCTGTTATCTGTTATTGATCTATTTTTAAAATAAGTGTTTATAAAAAATAGGGTTTTTTCATTTAAAGAGAGAAAACTGAATCTTTTGCTGCTGTTAATGTTTGTGATAACTTCAGGGGCTTCTTCAGTGGACAGCAACTGCAGTAGGAACAGACTTAAAATAATTTTATACTATGCAAATGTGACGTTTCAGCTACTTTAATAATAATAGCTAAAGCTTTGCACTGTAAGCAACTGTGCAATGTTGTCCTTATGCCCGTGCCCCCAATCTTGGGTTACAATTCTATAAATTAAGAAAAAGAAAAAAAAATCCTAACAGGTTATATCTATAACAGATACTCCAGCAGAGATGAAAATCTTTCTCGTACTAAGATTGAAATAGGAGTTTCCTTGTATCTTTGTCAGATCTTACATTAATGCACATGATGACATTATTCCATAATATGAGAAAAAATTATTTGCTAATGAAAAGTTGTGAGTTTATATATACATTACAGAGCATTGCTTTCTAACCTCTGCGTTATTGTTCTGCTTCCTCTGTTAGCATGTCTCCACTCATTTCAGTGACTTTATGGTAATGCATTCACTTCGATGCAACTACCACATCAAAATAAATTAGTTGAGTTTTTAAGAGGTCTATATGCAATGCCAACACTAATCATACTAACAGAAAGGAAAATACACAAAACATAGCTGTGCCTGTGCATGAGTATAGTGTTCTGCATGCAAAAGCATTATCAGTTTGTACTTTCTTACTCCTTATGCTCTGCATCTTGTGCAGAAAAGAACTTTCTTCCACCCCCTACCTACCTCCTACTTCCCAGCTAATATTAAAAGCAGAGACAGCTCTTATAAAGAAATTATGTTGCTGAGATCATTGCTTTTATAAAGTACTCACTAGCACTTTATGAAGTATGAAAAATTTTTTAAAATACTTTTGAATATAGATTGCATAAAATCCACGCACCTTTTTTGCTTTCTACTGTTTTGTCTCTAACTTCTCCAAATTTTGAAATTGAGGCATATTCATTTGCCACTCACTGCATAGCTAATCTACTCAATGAGAACCCTCTTGTTCTTCTGTTCCTGTTCCATAACGTCATCTGTCTTTGTGATGTTCTAAGTGTTGTTCTTTTTTTCTCCCACCCAGGTACTGCTATGTGGATATTTGTTAGCAATGACTGATGTGGAATCTACATATGCAGACTTTATTGCTTCAGGAAGAACAGGTAGAAGAAATGCATTACATGACATACTTGTGTCCTCTCCGGGCGGGAACTCCAGTGAACTAGCCTTAAAGTTATCAGAGCTTGATATAAACAAAGCAGGTGAGTACATTTTGGTCTCTTAATATAATGACTTAAAACTAAAATGAAAAGAGTATTACACAAAACATTGTTTATGTGCACACATTATTCCCTTGTCCTTCAGCAACAAAAATATTTCTTTCTGATAATGGAAGATCAGTAGAGGTTGCCTGCAATAAGAAGCCCAGGTTTCATAAATGGGAAGGGTGGTAATTTGCAAGTACAACATATTACTGAAAAAGGAAAAGTCATTCTGCAGTGAGTGCCTAGTGGCAGAGTCCATGTCAGGATAAATTTTAGGGAAAATCGAGTATAAGGAAGAAAATAAGGAAATCTTTATTATTTATCTTTGTTTTACTTGGATCTTTGTTTCTGGGTAAATTGTCTCTTTCCCCTTTCTGCTGATATTTCATTCTGCTTCACCTCTAATATTGCCAAAATTTTTAGCTGTTTGTGCATCTTCAGTGTATAGTAAAGGACCTTATATTAAATAAAAATAGGAGTGTGGCTGTGTAATTATTTTTATGTTACATGGGGGTTAATGACTGGATCTTAGAGATATTTCAAAGCCCTTTTCAGATCTTAGGAAAGAGATCTTATGTTTATTTTAATAATAGCAGAAGAAAACGAATGCAGCAAAGAACAAACTGTTGATAAGTAGCTGCCCTGTTTGTGCATCTATTTTTCTCAGAGACGACAGCAAGAGTTTTGAGAGGCAGTCTCATCAATCAGATGTGGGCAGTGTGACATTTGGGTGGTTGTAGGGCTGTTTGGAGGGAGGGTGATTCTTTTTTTGGCTTTCAGACTAATGCACATCCTAAGTCATTCCTTCTGCAGTGGCCAGTTTGGGGCCTATAGCTTCTAGATGCATACAATTCTAGGTGAGGAGGGCCTTTAATTTTTTTTTTTTTTTCTGTTTAAAAAGAAAAGCTTTATTAGTATGTGTGTAGGTGTGTCTATTTATTTTAATCTGAGGATACATGTAAAATGTTGGAAAAATATAAAGTAGGTGGCATTTGAAATGCAGAATGCCAACCTTCCTTCTTGCTTGAATTTTCTTCAGTCTCAAATTAACACTTATCAAAATTGCCTTTGATCTTGTCCATTTAGAAGATATAAAAAAATCCTTATTTTTAAGTGAAGTTGTTGGAGTGATTGTAAGCCAGAACTGTGTTCTTTTATGAGCTATAAAAAGAATGTGACTTTGTGCCTGTAAATGTTGATATGCATTTAAGTACATGCACTAGTTAGCTCTGTAGTGATGAGAATGGTTTAAATAACTGTTAGCCTAATTTTTAATACTTAATTCAGAAGTCTATTTAGTTTTTCTTGGAGACCTGTTTTGCAGCTTGGATAACTTAATCATTGCAGAAAAGTGTACAGAGTTGCTCACAAAATTACTTTAGGTAGCAGATACACAAAAACACCTGCATACTTCTTCAGGAGGTTATGCAGTTTGAATTAGATACAATGAAAACATTTAACTTTTGTATTATTAGTACACCTAGGTGCTGGATAAAAGACTCAGAACCACAAATATTGAAAAATGCATTGTATTATCATTCATGTGAGTATTAGTGTATTATCCCATCATGTCTTTCAAAACCAAAGAGAAGCTCAAAAATTTTTTGCATCCCAAATTCCAGTTTAGAATATACTAGTGCTTACGGGATGCATATATGCCTCACACCTGACAGGATTAGGAGGAAAATACATGTTTGGAGGTTATCTCTTACTACTTTCAATTTGCATGTCAATTTATGCTAAGTACTACCTAATTATACAAATATAGACATCAAGTTTCAATTTTTTTTCCCTTTTATTCTTATTACAGCTATATGCATTTTTTTGCAAAAGTGCAAGTACATTTGCTTTCAACTTCATGGAGTAATGGCAGAGTAGGATAATGCACATTAAAAAAAAAAAAAGGTTATTATAAAACATATGTAAATTATGCTACCCAGGCATATTTAGTACATGCACTTTAAAAAGTCTGCAGATAAATTTCCCGCAAAGAACAGGAACAGCTTTGAACAGCACCAGGCAGCGAGGCCTTGTTCAATGACCATATATTTTCTGTCATGTACTATTTGATATCTGAAGACAGTGCTGGTTAATCTCCTCATTGATGAGCCAATGACAGCTAATCAAGAGTTTACTGCATGATTATGTATAATACATATAATTACTGTATAATACTCTCCCTTCAAAACAACTGTTTCAGTGTTCTTTGTCCATAATAAGCTAACCTGCTAATATCTGTGAAACGGATATATTTACCAAACTTCAAAATATAGGTTCCAAGTACACTGTGGCAACACATTTTATCTAAATTTAGTAAAAGCAACACTGCATACATCTTATAAATAGAAAACTGCAACAGAAATCATAAGACAGGAGGCAAAAGAAAGTTTTTTAGTAGGGATGTGAGTAGGTAGCTCATCTGGTCAACTCTCTCTCAAGGTAACTGATGCAATTCCAAGAAACTTTATATTCAGTTCATCTTACAGGTGATTGTAGCTAAATAAAGTAGTAAGGAAAAAGTACAATGAAGAACAAGGTCTGTTCTCTGCAAGTCTAATCTCTAAAACAAACTGCTGCTTTTCTAGGTGTCTGCAGATATGCCACAGAACGCAGATCCAGTGCAGAAGTGGAAAGGAGACTTCCTTGTAAAAGTTGTAGTGGTCCAACCATCTACAAAAAACTGGGGATAGTAGAAGCATTAAAGTCATACAGAACTGGAATGAAGGACTGATTGTAGAATTTGTGATTAAAAGTGATTTTAGTTAATGGTAGAAATTTTTTAGGTGAAAGCATTTGGAATACTGATAGATACTGAAAAGTCAGTAATGTTACAGGAAGAAAAATGAGTTAAAAGCTGTGTATTAGAAGAACTAGTAATTGTTGCTAACTTACCAGCTCACCCAACTGTATTATGGCTTACAGTATCGTATTATTTGCTTGAGGTTTTTTAATACTGCCTGTTGATTTCAAAATGCTGTGTAAGAATTGCAACTCTTACTCTTAAGAGCTTATAGCCATCATATTTTTAAGGAAGAATAGTTCAAGACTGTGCTTAGGCAAGTTTGGGATTCTTGGAACCCAGAAGCAAAATTATTTTAGTAAACATATTTTAAGACGTTTGGTAGGAGAGCTCTGCCAGCAGAAAGACAGAGTCTGTAGTACCAAGACAGCGTATTATAGATTAAAATGGATTTAGACTAGTGAATTTTTTCAGTGAGTTGAGAGAATCTTTTAAGAAGTGATATATTAGAACCATAATGCTCTTTCTCTGAATCTTTGTGCACTACATTTAACATTTAGGTAGTGAAATATTTGGGCGTTGTGTCCAGGATGATTTTTCATTTAAACATCAATAGTCTGCAAGTTTTTCTCTTCAGTTTCGGATTTTTTTGGTTTTTGTTTTTTTAATAATTCTTTCAGGAAAGCTTGACTTGCCTAGATAGTATGAAGGATATTAAAGACTTCCCAGTAGTCAGAATAAACAGACTAAAGACCAGGCAAAAAAGGAATAAAAAAAGCTTAGACTCCACTGATCTAGACTTCTTTGGGTTGGAAGGGACCTCAAAGATCATCTAGTTCCAACTCCCCTGCCATAGGCAGGGACACCCTTCACTAGACGATGTTGCTCAGGAGGGGAACTTCCCCCTCCCTGGAAGTGTTCAAGGTGAGGTTGGATGGAGCTTTGAGCAACCTGCTCTACAAGTCCAGGTAGATGATGCCAGTTGCTCTTCCCTTATCCACCAACGCTGTAACCCTGTTGTAGAAGGCCACCAAATTTGTCAGGCATAGTTTTCCCTTAGTGAAGCCATGTTGGCTATCACCAATCACCTCCTTATTGTCCGTGTGCCTGAGCATAGTTTCCAGCAGGATCTGCTCCATGATCTTGCCAGGCACAGAGGTGAGGCTGACGAGCCTGTAGTTCCCCAGGTCTTCCTTTTTTCCTTTTTAAAAATGGGGGTTATGTTTCCCCTTTTCCAGTCAGTGGGAACTTCACTGGACTGCCACAACTTCTCAAATACAATGGACAGTGGCTTAGCCACTTCATTCACCAGTTCCCTTAGGACTGGCGGATGCATCTCATCAGGTCCCATGGACTTGTGCACCTTCAGGTTTCTTAGACGGTCTCAGACCTGATCTTCTCCTACAGTGGGCAGTTCTTCATTCTCCTGGTCTCTGCCTTTGCCCTCCACAACTTGGGCAGTGTGGCTAAAGCACTTGCTGGTGAAAACTGAGGCAAAAAAGTCGAGTACCTCAGCCTTCTCCATATCCCAGGTAACCAGGTCACCTGTTTCCTTCTGGGGAGGGCCCACACTTTCCCTAGTCTTCCTTTTATTGTTGACATACCTATAGAAGCTTTTCTTGTTGTCCTTGACATCCCTGGCCAGATTTAATTCCATCAGAGCTTTAGCTTTCCTAACCTGATCCCTGGCTACTTGGACAATTTCTCTGTATTCTTCCCTTGCTACCTGCCCTTGCTTCCACCCTCTGTAGTCTTCCTTTTTTTGTTTGACTTTGCCCAGGAGCTTCTTCTTCATCCATGGGGGCCTCTTGGTCGTTTTGCTTGACTTTTTCTTTGTTGGGATGCATCACTCCCGAGCTTGGAGGAGGTGATCCTTGAATACTAACCAGGTTTCTTGGCCCCCTCTTCCTTCCAGGGCTTTGTCCCATAGTACTCTACCAAGCAGATCCCTGAAGAGGCCAAAGCTTGCTCTCCTGAAGGGAGAGGGCTGTGCACCCTCCTTGCTGCCCTAATGATCTTGAACTCCATCATTTCATGGTCACTGCGTCCAAGGGTGCCCTTGAGCTTCACATTTCCCACCAACCCCTCCTTGTTGGCAAGAACAAGGTCCAGCATGACACCTCTCCTTGTTGGCTCCTCTATCACTTAGAGAAGGACATTATCATCAACGCATTCCAGAAACCTCCTGGATTGTTTGTGCCCTGCCGTGTTATCCCCCATGAGGACCAGGGTGTGCCAACGTGAAGCTGCTCCTATCTGTCTATAGGGGCCTTCATCTGCTCAGTCTTCCTGGTCAGGTGGCCTGTAGCAGACCCCCACTACAGAGTCACCTGTCCCTGCCCTCCCTTTAATCCTGACCCATAAGCTCTTGGTCAGCTCCTCATCACAGAATCAGAATAGCTTGGGTTGGAATGACCTTAAAGATCATCTAGATCCCCCAGGCAGAGCTCCATGCACTCCAGCTGGTCATTGACATAGAGGGTGACACCCCCTCCTCATCTCCCCTTCCTGTCCTTCCTAAAGAGCCTGTATCCTTCCATTCCAATACTCCAGTCATAGGAGCCATCCTACCACATCTTCATGATGCCAGTAAGATCATAGCCCTGCAGGTGTGCACATGTCTCCAACTCCTCTTGTTTATTCCCCATGCTAGGTGCATTTGCATACAGGCATTTAAGTTGGGCCCCCAATGAAGCTGACTGACTGGCTGAATTCCTTTGTGCTGCACTTCAGGTGATCTCCTGCTGACCTGGGATCCTTCTCCCAGCTCTGGGCATCTATTGCTGGCACTGGCATCAAACTGGTAGGAGTGGGATGGACTGAGGTTCCCCTCCCCTGGCAACTTTAGATTAAAGCCCTCTTCACCAGCTTGGCCAGCCTATGACCAAAGATGCTCTTCCCCTTCTCCGACAGACGGACCCCATCAGCCCCCAGTAGACCAGGTTTCTCAAAGCAAGTCCCATGGTCTAAGCAGCCGAACCCCTGGCTGTAGCACCAGTCCTGTAATCATTTGTTGATTCGCCAGATTCGACCAGCCCTTTCAAACCGCCTCCCTTTCAAAGATCTAGATATTAAAGTTAAGAGGTACAACTACCCCTACTTAGACCTCTTTACACCTTAGTCCATGGAATTTTCTTCTCTTTACTGTATCAAGCCAGTTCAATACAAATCCTTGCAAGATACAAGAGACAGCTTCTGTATTAAGATTATTCCTTACCTAATGTTTTTCCATATTATGTACCTATAGCTAATTAGTCCAGTCTTCAGGGACTTGTGACTGACTTGCACTTAGTTTCCAGCTCTCTGAACCTGCTAGATCTTTAACCATTAGGTGAAATACAACACTTTGCATATAGGTACTAATAGACCATTGTCAATGCACTACTTAGCCTTCTTTAGACAGCCTTTATGAGTTGTCTGCTCACTGTGCCACTGTAAGATGTTTTCTATTCCTCAGGTCATTCTGTGGTTTGCAGTGAGACAGCCGGACTGAATGCCGTGGGGCGTGGTACTGAAAATGGACGTACAGAACAAACACAGCTTTCACAAACTATTGCTTTTATTGAAGCCGTGTGTCTTTATAGTAAATGCTGTTCAGACTTGGCGTAATGAAGTTTTTTTTCTCTTATATTGTCATAGTATCATAGTGAATAAATTGTCAAAAATACCCTACTATTTTTGTTAAATTCTTTAACTTCTAGCTACTTCAAGTCTGTACTTAAAATGGTAATGGTGGTTGCAACTAGGAATTTGTTGTTGAAGGTGTCTCGAGATGCAAAGTATGGCTATCTTAGTAGTAAAAGGTTTAATATTTAATGCAAGATTTCAGTTTCAGTTTCTTTTTACTTTGTTTTTGAGACTGGTGGATGAACAATTGGGAATATGGGAGCAAGACTTCTTTGTTTTAGGGTACATCACTCGTCCTTTTCTTGTATGTTATAGAAGGAGAAGGAGATGCACAACGAAATCCAAGTGAGCAAACCGGGGAGGCCCAAGGGGAGGCAGCAAAGCAAGAAAGCTGACATTCGACTTTGACCGACTGCAGCAGCTGCTGGATGTTTTCAGACTACAAGAGCATGCTGGAACAAATTTGTTTCCATGAGCAAGCTGGTGGAAAAGAAAGCGCATGTGTCTTCACTGCTGGAACCCACTCAACACAATGCTAAAAATGGGGGTACAAGCTGTGGCAGAAGACAGAATTTTCTCTACCTCTGTCATTAGCAATGGTTGAACATGTATTGATTTTTTGGGATAGTGTCATCAGATGGATCCCTTCATAATGACTACTTGATGGGAACACTTTTAGAAAGTAGAACAGGTAAATCTTGTAGCAAATGGCCTTTGAAAAGTCAGAGGATCTAATTGTGTATCTTAAGAAAAGGCTGGTGTGATCCTCAGAGTTTAAAATTCTCTGGCCAAAGTGTTCACCCATTAAAAGAACTGTAAAGAAAGCACTGTTTTTAGAACTTTGCGTCTGTTTTACAGCTCTGTTATTTACAATGGTTTTTGTATTGTACAACTTAGATGCTCTACACTGCCCCTTCTCAACTGCTTATGAGGAATATTTCTGTTACTGTGAATTTTTCTACCACGCGTTTTGAAAGGGCTGGTTTTTTGCATAATGTGGTGATGTGCACATGATAGATTTAAAACGTCAACAGCTAAATTGATTATGCCTAAACCTAAATGACTCAGCAACACTCTAATTTGTCACTAGATGAGCCTTCAAAACGATTTGTTAATGTGAATACTTCAGCGTGTTTTGTGTCCTTGGTACAGTTTTGCCACTTGCCTGTAGTTAGTTGCATATCAGAGACTCAAATGGAATCTTTTATGTTATTCTTCCCCATTTTTCTAATTTTACTCCCAATTTCTTAATCTTTCTCTGAGATATTTTTTTAAAATGTTAGTCCAAGCATTTTATTGTTATGGTAGTTTTAAGAATACATTTATAACCTTATATGGGTTAAAATTCAAACAAATTCCGTGGTGCTAGAGATTTTCCTGGTTCACATTATTAAAGATGGGCCTTTGTTTACACACGGGAGAATAACTGGCGTAGGTTGTTGCCACTTATGTATTCTGGAATGAGTTTTAGATTGCAGGATAGTCCAGCTAGTGGATCATGGGCTGGATCCAGCCAGGGGGACTATTTTTTCTGTCCCTTGCCTTTGCCTCAGTTGATCAGGCTGTTGAGTTTGCACAGCCAGTAGCCTGTTACTGACGCACCAGGTACAGCCAAGTGCTAGAAGCTGCTACAGCAGCTTTTTGGCCAGGATGTGGAGAGGGACGTGAGAGACTTGGTATCTAGCACCCAAAAGACTGTATTTTTCCCAGCTGAAACCAGGATACAGCTATTCCAAAATGACAGTCCAAACTGGACCTTCATTGAAATATCTGAGTTAATAATAATCTATTCTGCAGTAGCTGTGCTGATTGATTTCCTTCCCCCCCCCCCAATCCTGCCCCAATAAACAAGGTCTTTTTTTTTCTGAAAAAGGGGCCAGCCACACCTCTGTGTGACTAAGGTGAGTAAAGAGAGTAACTGACTAGTAAACCATGGCAATCACATAAGCACCAATCACAAAGTCAGAAGATATGTTTTCTTTTATTAACAGGAGGTGATGTCACTTTATATATAGTATATATATTATATATATTTTTGTGTTGTTGTTGGTTTCAAATGTTATGCACTTTTTAATGTTTGTAAACTTTTACTAATGAATAGTGTGATTGCTTCCTGAATATATTAATCATCAGTTAACAAAACATCTTTGTGGCCACAGCTGTTTGTTTCTACCATATGTATCATAGTACTTGTCACCTGAAATTCTTTTGTGAGATGTGTGAAGAAAAAAAACAAAACTTCTGATCAGTATTATGAGCTCATTTATTAGTGTTAATAAATAACAAGCCAGAAGTATGCTTGTGGCTCATTAGTGTAATATTAACTCTCACATTTTATGGTTTGGAAGCAGAATGCCTTGCTGTCGTCTTAGCTGTCAAATGCCCTATCATCTTGGTAACAGAAATAGTCCATTTGCTTTGAAAATACTGTTATCCTTTAATTATTTATTCATTTGTTTCACTTGGTGTTCCTTCCAAAGTTAACACATTATTATTGCAAAATTTTTTTAATTATTTCCCCCCCCTCCTTGCTCTTGCATCAGGTCTTCAAGCTCAACTGGTTGCCCTTTTGTCATGGACTAGTTGCTGCCAATCTAGCACAAACACCAGAAGGAAATAAGATTCTAGGGCTTTTTATAGTGTTACTTTATTGATGATCCATGAAACACCATCAATAAAATGTTGCAGAAAAAGGTAATAGTGGAATAAGTAATTACAGTACATTAAAGAGTTGGTTTTCCTTATTTTCCTTCAGTGCTTTTCTTTATTTCAGTACACTTTCCTTCTTAATTCTTCTGTGTTGTGAAATAAAATCCATTTCAGCCTTTCCACTCTATTTTGTACCTGTTTTTTCTATTTTTCCTTTGTTTTCTTTTGATTTTAAAACAATTATGGAGGCTTTTGCTGGTTTTTGAAACACATCTCTTTGTGATGGAAAATAGCGCTGTTAATTTTAGTAGAGTAAAAGGCTGTTTATGGTCCCCATCCCCCAAAATTGTATGTGTGCTTGCTTTATCACTTGAACTCTGCTCGCTCTCTTTATTTGGGGTGTTTCTATAGCATCTATAACCTCACTTTATGTAAATGTGTGGTTAGTCTGTGCCAAATCACAGCACTGTATCTTGAGTACTATTATTACCCAACCAATTACAAAAGAGCTAGTTGAGTATAGTCACACCTTTATTTCTGTGTAATTGCATCATATAACAAGGGACACTGATGGCAGAATCAGACTTTGACTTGGGTTATTTTTGTCTTTGCTAGTTACCTTTTTCAGTAAGCCTGCCACTCTGGTTTCTGTTCCAGTATCTTTATATTTTCTCCTTCTCATGATAGGTAAAATATTTAAATGTTTGTTTAATCCAGGATTATCTTAAAAAAAACCTCTCCAAAAGCTATATAAACTCAACAAAGTTAGGTCTGGACTATCAGCTTAATAGAATACTCTTTAAAGGTTTGGGTTTGGTGGGTGGTTTTTGTTTGTTTTACTGTCTTTTTAGTTGTATGTTTCAGTGCTTCATTCACCCTGCCAGCCCCGTCACTTAAAAAAATAGTCTCTGTACCCATGTTCTTGTTGCCCATAAAGTCTATGACTATGTTCGCAAGCATTGCACTTGCAGGGTTTAGATTCTCCATATATATTTGAAACACAAAGAATATAGAACTGGAATTGGACAGAGATAATGGCATTTCTTTCTTCTGCTTATTTCCCTTAATGTTGTCCATGTGCTTCAAAAAGCTTCTATTAAAATACAGCAGCAAGCATGCACATACCATTATTTCATCAAACTATCTTTTTAAGCCAAAAGTTCACTATGACCTTCCATACAACAATTATTAAATATGACAAAATCAGTATACCTGCTATTCGTGCCTGCTATTTCCATTGCCATGTTTTTTCCACAATTGTAAAGTGGGGAAAAGTGTATCCTGGTATGAGTGACAGGTCCTGAGGAGTTAGATTGCATGCAAATGGGTAATGAAATTATCTGGTGTCCAGAAGGAGGGAGCAACTACCCAAGTGGTTAAGCTGGAACTTCTATGCTATGAATGCCTTCCTCAACTAAACAGTGAAGAATTTCAGGTGTGCTTGATGTTTATATTTTATGTTTCAGAAAAATCAATGAATTTTTACAAAGGAAAGGCTGAGAGCTGCTGTTGAGACTGAGCACAGTAATCTAACCGTTACTTTGACAAAGTCTGCCTTACCTCAAGCAGCTATTCCAATGTTAAACTGCTGTATTTTTGCCCCGACTTGTTTCTTTGTTTTGCTCTGCCTCTCTTGCTGGCTGGTTTATTTTCTGTCCTGTGCTTCCCTCATGTAAAATAATACCCCAGAAATATATGGATATGGGGTGCAGTATTGGATTTTCTCTATATTTAACTGACTAAAGTCTTGTAGTGGAAAGGTTGCATCTCTTCATCTTTTTGATCCATGCACAAAGGGGCATCTGCTTCAAAGTTCTCAGCACGAGAGAAGCAATAGAGCCAGGAAGGAAGTGTGAATTCAAGAAGATAGGCCAATAATAGAAGGAGGATAGCTTTTCTTAATAGTAAGGCAGGCGGAGCTCAATGCAGAAAATAGCTTCCCCCATCACATGATGGACAGTCAGGCTCTGCTGGTCTTAGCTAAAAAGAAGAAAAATTGTTCAACTTGGGTGATATTTTGACTTCAGAACCAGCTTCAGGTTTTCAACAAGGCTCTAGAACAGAAACATGCATAAATTAAAGCATAGCCCTTACCCTTGAGACAAATGGGAATCACCAGGTTCCAATGAAAGAGAATGAGAGATTTCTTAGATAACTTAGAGGACACGATAGTCTCTGAAAAGCAGAAACTTTTAACAGCTAGGGAAATGATAGAAATTAAGGTAG